ACCCTTACCCTAACCCTAACCCTAAACCTAACCCTAAAAGTTACCCTAACCCCTAACCGTAACCCTGACCCTTACCCTAACCCTAACCCCCTAACCCTTACCGTAACCCTTACCCTAACCATAACCTCTGACCCTAACCATAACCATAACCCTAATCCTAACCCTTACCCTAACCCTAATCGTGCTCAAATCGAGCTCGGATCGAGCTCGAATCGACCTCGAATCGAGCTCGAATCGCTGTCGACAAACCTGGAAATGTGGAGTTTTGTTCCGCCACTACCAAGGAAACTCCTGCCGAAATCGACATCTCGGACACTAGACTCAACTCGAATTGTGATACGCATTTATGAGACGGCCCATGCTTTTGATTTTCACGTAGGTACCAGCTTAGGCCGAGGCAACTCAAAGACTGAACAACTAACATCCATGACACGGACTTCAGATAACTGTACCACCAAAAGGCACCCTCGCCTTCTTGCAGTTTGTTTAGTATTCAGTCAGTACGTACACAGGCCCAGGACAAGATGGCCACAAAAATCCTAAGGCCGCGCAGATACTGACCGACTACGAACTCACTTGACGAAGGAGAAGACTGGCCAGACCAAACAACACCAGTAGAGGTCCAACCACCCCCCATCGAGGGGGTGAATCATAACACAAGTAGCTAAAATCACCACCAAATATCCCTCCATTGAACCGAGACAGCGAGCGAAAAAATCGATCAGCCGGAGACCGACACACAGGTCACGGCACGTTACTTGCATTTCTGAACTCGGATATTCTCCTCTACTTGCATTTCTGTTCGATCAAGTGCATCTAAGGCTTTGGCAATAGCGAGCTAACTAAGCTCTCAGAAAATTCAGCATTCCAATAAACTTTTTTCGGTGAGCACTTCTTCCTTCTCAAGATAATGACTTTCATACCACCTATTTCGCTGTCTTTTATCTCCCTTATCATGCACCATTGGCAAGACTCAGTTTAGTAAAAGCTGAGATCGAGCGCAACAGTTGAGATGATAAAGAAACAATGTACTTATGCCATGCAGACCCTTGAACCCCCGAATGGCAGTATGTGCGAGCAATTCTTCAACTATGTTTCCTATTCATTCGCACAGCATGCTATGTACATTTTATACCTAACGTGCTGCGTTGTTTCGTAGACCAAAGATCGGACTCTTATACTGAATTCTTTAACGTACCAATGTAGCAATGAAACGCTTATGAACGCATTGGCATCCTGGTAATGTTTCTTCTGGCCGATTGTAAATCACCTTGTTCGTTAGTTTAAAGGAGAAATCTGGAATTTTACCAATTTAGGCTGCTACATTCAGAGTTCAGATAAGTATCACGAATGAGCCTTCGATGTTGATTGGTAGTAGTCAGTGGATAAAACTGGGTGGACTAAGTTTCGGGTAACTTAGCCTTATAGATGAAAACAGTAGCGAAACAAACACTTTATGCAGGACATGCTATCGATATAAAGAACTAGTTTGGAGGTTGCGAGGTGATCCTGTGGACTGCTGTAAGCACGTGAGACACCGATATGTCGGGGGAATAGGTCTTCAGCTCTCGGTATCCCTGGTCATCCACTTACCTCGATGGCCAAGGAATGGTTGGCGAAACTTGGTATAAGTCACACGAGAGCTCGAGGCCAATCGATTTTCCGTCGGTTCCTGGTTGGCTGTAGGTGACAGAGCAAAGGCCTACACGCGCTGATCCTAAAAATCTCAACGGCTAAAATGGATAAATACTTGCCTGCAGAGACAGCTTGTGGCAGCTGCCTGCAGAACATCTTGTAAGCTGGTCCAAACCAATCTATGATCCCTGACTTATGATTTTGAAATTTTCGTGGAACCTTCATCGAATGCCAACATTGTCACGGAAATTGTGAAGGCCTCTGTAAGCACGTGGGAAGCCAATACACCGGTTACTCAAGGTTCCTTCAGTCCCCAGTCCTATTTAAACGGCTGCTGTTAACACTGACGATGGGCAGACTGGACGGTTACAAGTTTTATTCTTTGAAAATTCACCTGGTTTTTTGGATTTTTAAGTTTTAGAATTGAGTTGCAAGCAACCTTCAGGTTTTTGTTTGGCGCATACTTATGGGACGCTGTCTTGCCTCCTTATTTGAGTAGTTCGTGGTCAACATAAGCTACAAGAGCCTACAGGAACTGAGATGCACCCTCTAAAATTTGTGTATTTTTGTCTTTTGGAAGCCATTGGCTTATCCCTATCTGGGAAAAATTTAGGATTAAATACAAACAGAAGCAGAGGTGGATCGATGAGATACTTACCAAGACAAGTGGGGAAGAGTTGGTGTGGAGAGCGAATCCATGCGACAACAGACTAACCGGATTGGTTTGGAGTATTTACAGGAGAGGACGATGTAGACGGGAAAGGGATTGGAAGAGGAGACACGGCTGTCTCACTAGGCCACGTTCCCAGTGGGCATGACAGCGATTTTGTCCACACTAGAGCTGCTGATAGCGCCGCGGCCACTGCAGGCGCTGTTGATTTGTCGTCTTATTTGTTGCATATCAGACGAGATGTCCCGGTAGGCAATCTGCCAACGCTCCCAGTCAGCATCTATCGGACGCTTCGTTAGTCCCTGATTCGAGCAGTACCAAAAACGCCAAAACCTTAATAAGTGGTTGACTGTGTACACGAATTGTATATGGTTACAAGGACAAGAATAACAGTTCGATGTAGGTACACTGATAAAGGTAGGAATGACTACTGTCACCCCCGTCAAGGTACGGTCCTCGGAAAAAATTCGCGTCAGTGTCTATGGGTAGTTCAACTAGCAACTGTGTTAGGTGATCGGTGGCAGGAGACTGAATTCGGGTCATAAGACGTCGGAAAATGAATCATCTCCCTTCCTCACTGCTTCCGCATGCAGTAGAGAACGAAAAGAAAAGATGGCCTGTGATCTAAAGGAGGGTACTACGGTTCTGCCCTTGTTGACTTAAGGTTCAAAAAATCTTCCTTTTCATTTTCATTAGTTTTACTAAATAAGTTCAAAGAGACAGAAGTAACTACTACAATATTAATTTCCCTTATCAGTCTGTCTATTCTGGGAAGGACTAGAATTTCCACATGGTTCCAGTCGAACACTAAAAACAAGTTCCTCCCTAATTAGATCAGGGCCCCGTCATATCAATTACGGTTGGGAAGCTGATCCGTGACGTGGCATTTGGGCGGTCAGTAGTTCAAAAATATTCATGCGCTGGTGAACGCAGGTCTATTTTTCAGGTCAGAGTTAGGGTTCGCCCGACAGATGGAATCAAGTGAGCGAGAACTGGATACTCCAGGATCTCAATTTCTCTACCAGTCTTTTCTATAAATATTCCAAACTTTTGGAGCTGTGAATACCAGCTTGCGCTCATTTACTGTGCGATTCACTTTCTTTGTCCCGTTTAAATAAGGAAACGAGGCCTGAGGCAACTGGAAAGACGTCAAGTCACAGAGACGACTAAAGATGCAACTAGAAGTCTCGAGCGTTCCGTGTGCTACCAGATGAGACAGAAAGTAATGTCAGTCTTCTCCAGGTTATCACTACAAAATAGGAACGAATGAATGAATACGCCAAGATAAGAAGAAAGAAAAGTAATGCTAACCTGCTGATCGGTGAAGCGTCTTTCGCTTGATGTGGAAGATCGTGTCGCGGTCTGCCCGGGAGAGGAGCCAATTCCAGAGGATGGCGAAAAGCTGGACGCACCATCGGCCTTGCCGGCGGTAGGTGCTAGCCTCGAAGAGGTCATCGTGGTCATCGTGGTAGTGCTCACTGTCGACGGCAGAGGTGCAATGCCGACTTTCTGTTCGGTTATTGCTTGGTCCTTCGTTGCAGTTGATGTCGCCTTCCTTAGTGGTGTTTTCTTACTGGCGACATGTGCAACAGGTGACCTCAAAACGGGCAGAGGCTAAAAATGTAAAGATCGATTAAGACACATGGAAGTAACGTTCGTCGTAACAGGATATGGTAAATCTCCTTTTCAGCTGGAGTCTACGGTCTGTGTCTCATGCGAGTAGTTGCGTAGGAACGAAAAATGGTAATTGAGAAACATTACCAACGAAGATGAAGGAGACTGGGGATGGCCATTTCCGATGTATTAGTCGCAGTCAGCCATTCTAGTCTTCCTTGCTTTTATTGGTAATATTCCCCGGTATAAATGCGTAAAGAATGCAGATATCTTGTAGACCATTGCCAGCAATCAGTTATTAGTGGACGAGTTTCTCTGCCCTTCGAGCTGTTTACCCTACTCTTTAGGTCTTATTGTCTTGTTAAGTTTATCAGGCCATAATGCTCTACTTCAGAGTAAGAAACATTCAGCACTTACCAAAGGTGAAGTACCGTCCTTGTTGAAAAGGCCGCTGAGGGGACTACGGCTGCGCCTGGACATCATCGTTTCCACCACGCTAAAGTGCTCCAATGCGTTTTCAGCCGCCTTTGCTCCACAGTTTTTCAGCTCGACTCGCACGGCCGAAAGAGCATTTTGCAGCCGCTGCTCACGATCGGTCAGCTCCTCGGCAGCAGCTACCTACAAGAGGAAGGAGACTGTTTAAGCATCAAATTCTTAAGGTCACACTTCCGGGTGGTTTACACTAAAATATCGCAGTGGGTAGGTAGCGCATGTGCACGCGAAGTTCAGAATCATTGTGGGTGACAGAGAATAAGCCTTCAGAGAAAAATATTTCGTGACGGTCGCCATCTGCTTACCTGTTTGCTACCCACCCCACCCTCTCTCGATCTTGCACAGTAGCAACCGTCTTTTCGGACGCACACAGGGTCACGGAGGCAGATATTGAAGTGAAGGAATGAAATGTGGTTTGAAATTGCAAGAAAGCAGTATACCTTTTATGCAAATTTAATTTTGCGCAAGCATCAATCCTTCCCTCGACGCGTGCGTATTTCCAGTACAACTTTTTTTGTTTTTTTAAACCTCCACACGGTTTCAAATGTGCCTCTATTGTGCCAAGTTGTTGAGGCGGGCGTATATTAAGGTACTCAACTAGACCAATCCGTAACCGTTGCCATAAGTGGTTCTGAATTTTCATCGCAAGGGCCGTTTGGCCTTGGGCTGCCCATCATCCGGTATCTGACATCACCTATAACATCATTACTTTCCAACAATCTCCTCTATAGAAAAAGTCGACTATCAGTTGTCACTAAAACAAGTGCATGTTCATCAGTGTGGGTTGGGGATTTTGCGAATGGAGGACGGTCTTCATCAGGTAAATCGGCCTACAATTCCCGATCACGTGACGATCGTGTGGACACTGTTCCAGGTAACATGGCCTCTATCTCCTAATTTATTAATTTACCGACGGCAACAAGTGTGTTAGGCTTCGACACAGACACAAGCAAAAGTGCGCGTAGCGTATGTCCTTAACGTTGTTAGGGCTTTCCAGTGTATGAGCGTAGGGGCTGCTGACAGTGACGAATTTCCGCCTGAGGAGTGAAACTTCAAACGCAAAGAGTCCGCAGTGGATGTATTTCGGGCAATCAGATTATTTCCTAACACTTATCCCCCGATTATATCAGGGAAATTCTGCTGGTTTGTCGTCCCTCCTTTTGGGGACCATTCCGGATGGTTTTTTTGCTCCTACTTCCTCCACAATCTCCTTGCTAAGAGAAACGGGTATAAGTGTAGATCTAGCCCATGTATGGGTAAGTATAATTCCTCATATTCTATGCTGGTTTGTCGTTGTGTTATCTAAAAGAAAATTGACATTCCAGACAGCCATAGTAAGCAACGGGACGGACGCTCATTACTAGCTTTTATTGACTTTCAGTCGTAGGTCTGGTCACCTGATCAGGTAGGCTAAACAAACCAACTTTTGAGAATATTCTGTGCTCAGACACTCCGGACGCTGCTGAAATTCCCTGTAGGAATAAGTCACGAAATATTATTTTTTACTTGTCTGAAAATAGGAAACGCATCGCGGTAAGAAATCTAGGTTTGCCTTCAGTAATATGTTCGTGATTGAAATGAAAATGGCCTGTGTGGTGCTTACATTACTGTCAAGAAGTCTCGACACACAAACACACACACGCACACAATACATACAGGAAGGGAGAACATTCAGTTCGGGAATATAGAAGTGCTTTCATCGGTGCTTGTGGTGAGGATAGCTATTACCGAAAGAAAAGGGACAAAGAGCATGCAAAAGCAAAAAATTGTAAAGCGGGCTGACACGAAGTTTACCGTAAAAACTTCATCCATGAGGGTTCCGTAGGTAGAAATCTTGAGGTAAGCAGGGCAGCAGGGTAAGTTAGACATCGGTTGTTTGAGTGTTAAGTAACATAATCCTGCTAAAAAACGTGGTACGGTCAAACTTGTTTTCCCCATAGTGTCAACCTCCAAAAATCCTGGTTCGACCCGAACCTCTGGAAGGTGAAACTTGCAAGCTTAACTGAAGCAGTGCTTTCTGAATGTGTACAGCGAGTGAAGCTGTATGGAAACTACGAATTAGGCTAGCGCACCTGATCTTCATTAGCTCAAACTTTAGTGAAGGTGCCCTCTCCCGAAGTAAAGAGCTAGCTCCCTTCATCAAAGCCCCTCGTCGCCAGGAGATCATGAATTATAGATGTGTCAATAAGGTGAGGAAGAGGAAGTGGTCACATTAGGGAGAATAATGACTTTCGTGGGTTTTCTCTACCAACGGGAAGAATTATAATAGATTGTTAGCATGTTTTGTTGTGCTCAACAAATCTGGTTTGTTATAGTTTAGAGTTGACCACCTTGTTGCTGAAGGAGTTTTTTTGTGAATACCTAGGGACCGCATTGAAGTTTAGGAAACACGCCGATCAAATGATGCTCTTTATGTGCAAAAGGCAAACTTGTGGAAATGTCAAATTTAGTGCCTAATAAAGTATTGCCAAGTAGTCCCGACGATTTACTTTACATAGCTTGTCAGTTCCACCTCAAGATATGGTACAATCGAAGCGAGGCCTTAATTAAGCAAGTAAAGCCTGCATGCAGCATTACGCAAGTAACTTTAATTAACTTAAATTCTTCTAAAACTCGGGTGGAAATTGAATTCAACAAAACAGTTTTGTGTGGAATGAGGGGCTGATGCAATCGACGAAAAAGCGAGGTATTGGTTAATATTTCTTAGGAGCAGAATCAGTCTGCTATCAGTGAATCGTGTCAAAATTGGCGAAGATTGTGCAATGCACCGAAAAACCTCTTGTTCTTATGTATAACCGAATATATTAAACTGCGTATGTTGTTGCATACAATAGAAACTACAGCTGCGCCTGAACTCATGAACGACTGACCAAAATATTATCGTATGCAGTCGGATAAAAAAAGACTACACGAACGGTTATTTTGATAAGAAATCACATCTATTTCACAATTTTCAAACTAAGGAAATGAGTGTTGCAGTTTTGAGAGCATGAGAGCCGTGAAAATCGAGTATCTAAAAGCGTTTACCGTTAAACACAATTGCGCTATAATGGTCACTTCTCACATGTTTGCCGTCGTCAGTCAATGAAAACAACCACGGGTGAAAGATTGCGCAGAAAACATTATCGACAAAGACAATGGAAACTGCTGGCTCATTAGCTATCATCAGTCAATCATTCCCAACCCAGGATGTACCACCCGAGGCTCGATCCGCGAACCTTTGATCAGAAGTCTAACACTCTAATCGTTAGGTCACGGGCTCTTTGAATTGCCGGTTTGGATCGGGAACATTGACACTCGCCGATGGACGCTTACCGATCGCTAAAGGAACTCACTCATTTCGCTCTGCCTTGAGGTTCAGTCACGAGCCCCGCCAGCGGCCGCACAGCGGTTAGTAGTTTAGGCAGATAGCCTGTGGGACGATTGAGTTCTGTTAGCGATCGGTGAACTTTTGTCAACGAGTGGGAGAAGCTCAGAAGAAGATGGCATGTCTCACACTATCCTTCAGTTACCTATGATTAAGGATTTTCGACAAAGTGGAAGAAGATTGGCTGAGTTGAAATACGCAGGCTCCTGTAATGTTCAAACAGTTGCTTCTATGATCGCTGTGACATCGTCTAGGTGCGTCTACGGTGTTATGGTCATATTAGCAGCTAGAGCCCGGACCTTTAGACGTCGGGCCAAAAGATCTCGACCCGTCTCATCTCATCTGACCTATCTACTGGCCATCAATTCTCTGTGAACTTTCCCCTGCAAAATTCCCTCATACTTCTACGGATGACATGTCTACGCACTCGCCCCATCACGAGTTACAAATCCAAGGTGACGGGCAAACGCCAGTCCCAAAGATCTAACAAATGAAAGCATCTAGGAAGAGGAACGGTGAACAGACGACCGCTTATCGGACGGCATAACAAGGGTCTGTTGTTGTTAACAAATGCGACACTATGGAACTCTGAAATAAGTCAAGTACTTAAATTGGTTAGCTAAGCCTGGTGGCTCACTCGGTCGCGATAGCAAAACAGCACAAGATGTGAATTGTACACAAGGTTTTCGGCAAATGATAAACCGGTTTGTTTGAAAAACGGGCGAATTTTGCTTTTTGGGCGTTAGGAATAATTAATTTTTTAACAGCATTGCACCTCCGTCAACCTTTTAGTACACTTAGTGCGAAGTTATGTGACTAGAAATTAATGCAAGGGCAATGTGGACCTACCCGGGCCTGTAGGAAGGTGTGATTCTTCTTGAGGGTGGTTAGTTCCTCGTACAGGAGACCAGCACGTGCACATTGCTCCTCGGCGACGCGTTCTAGTTGGGCAAGTTCGCGACCAGTTCGCCGTTTGATCTTCTGACAAAGTCGGTGCGCAGCCGCCAGTTGACCACGTACACGTTCCAACTCATCCGCCAGGTCCTGGTTGGTTCGCCTGTCATCGGATTGGAGGACTTCAGTCAAACGGATGATTTCCTGATCTGTGAGAGGTGAATAAATATAAAGCGACACATCTGAGCTGACGAGAAAAACACGCAGTAGTCAGATATCCACCTAGTGGAAAGCAGGCGGTAAGTATTGCTCTCACCTAACACGGAAGGCACTGAATAAGTAGTCTTAAATTCCACCCTGAGTGCACCTTTATGTTTTTTCTTGTTTATTACTTTCCAACCTCCAAAATGTTGAACAAAAGATTGAAACCAGTGTTCCAGTCTCAGCCATGTAGATATCATGTTTAGCTCCGATCGTATTTCACGAGCTGTCACATAAAAAAGACCGAAATTTATGACGGAATGCAAATCACTCGCAAAACGGCACCAACTACGACACCAAAGCTTTAAATAATAATGGACGACTTTAAGTTAATTGAAAACATGGCTTTATGTGAGATACCGATCCGCAGTAATACTTCGAGTACCCGCACAGGACAAAAAATGTCGGGACTTTTAAACAAAGAATTACCAGGAGACATCATTACTGCGTTTTCAAACATCAAATTACACAAGTTTTGAAATAAGACTTGTTAAAATCTGGAAAACGGCTTGGTTTCTAGAAATAATCTGCTCGCTTGCCCTTGCTTCAGCAGATTTACGTGAAGAAAAAAATTGATTTTCAAGCGCGGCGAGGTTCGCTTGCTAAACTTCTCGAACTTAAGTTACTCTCTTCTCATCAGCAAATGCGTGCGAGGGTGCAAGCTTAGTCTAGGATATCTGGTGGCATAAGAAACCGCAGGATTAAACAGAAATGCAGATTTCCACTCAGGGTTTGTAAATATTTTGACTGATAAAATTATCTATAAATATATCCTCCATGCAAAAAGGATATTTGGCGAAATAGGCTAGGGGAATATACCACATATGTAGCATTTAAATTGACCGCAATCGACAGCCTAAATTTCCGCCATCACGTCCCATGCGACAGGCTACACCTGAAGGCAGAAGTCAGCTTATGGATCATTTTTGATTGCTGCGTCCGGATGTCTCTTTAATAAGATGTGACCATTTGATGGACATCCGATGCACTCCCGCACCGCTAGTGCATTGTAACTGGAACCAGATTTGGAAATATGTTGCGTCACTTGCGACATAGTCTGAATCAACCATGCTGGTGTTAGGGATTTACATTTTCGACCGAAGAAAACGAGAAGTACTTGCTGTTAGGGCCGCTCCTGATGGATTTTCAAAGCCGTGCCAATCTCTCCCTGACCTACCCATCAGAACTACCTTCTTCAGAAAAGCGTCTCAGATGATGAAAAAACACCCGCTGACGATGGAAACGACATATTCATTAACCTGAAATCACATAATCAAAGAAGGTGTGCCCATGTCTTTTTTTCAAAAGGCCTAGATCATGGGGTAGGGAGAGAAAATTTCAAATAAGACCGGCTATGTCTCGTTCACAGCTGTTGTCGTAAACTTAAGGGACATACGCCCCTGGTTAAATGCATATTCATTGTGAGGTTGCTAGCAGATCTAATATAGACTATAGACTCGCTTCAACATGTTTACTTGCCCTTTTGTTTAACCTCTTCCTCGAGTTCTTGCAGTCTCATGCGCAAAAGGTTGCCGTCGACCGTCTCCATCTAAAAGTAAAAACTTGTAAATAGTCGGTAGATTCCAAATAAAATATCTAGAGAAAAATGCGTAAAGAAATCCGCCAGCAGTCGAACAACGGCACTTCCAGATTCCTCTCCCGATATTACGGGGATCCATGGCTGAGTTCTTTGATAGAGTTCTAAATAACTGGAAGGGATAACGCTGTACGTATTGTGCTCAACAGCTGACGATTAAAGAATTCAAAAGGAGTGGTGTCCAGTAGCAGGTGCGACGACAGAACGAAGGCCGTTCAGTGTTCCCCGTATTCAGTAGTCTCGATTTTAAAGACAGGACGCAAGATTTTATTAGTTGTGAAATGAGATGACTTGTACATTTTGTGAAATACACAGTGCATTCCGTTGTTTCAATTCGAGTCTCTTGGTATTAACATCCTCGTCTAAACGATCGCATTCAGTATGTTGCGAAGACAGCTTCTAAACGCAGGAAGAGGAAAATGCGTATTTACCTGATACTAGGAGTAGAAAATTGAATTTAGTATTCATCGCAGGTTGAATTACATTAACTACCCACAGTCTCCAAAGGAAAATTGTGCATGTTTTTGTATCTAAGGTATTCACCCTACAGATGCGATAAAAGCAGTTCGGATGACGTAGATCAATCTGAGTCATGTTTTAAATTCTGTTTTGAAAATACATAACATGGATAAAAGCCGCCCAACGCAAAGCTGTAATTAAGAGTAGACATGAATCTGCAAAACAGACAGGCTGGGTATAAGTTGTAAATCAGGAATAAACACTTTCTACAAAGCAGAATTGCCAAAGCCACGGAAAACAACGGTCTGTGTAGCGCACATTTTCTCCCAACGACAAAATAAACATTCACACATACTGTCTAGCGCAACGTTGCAAGGCATTTTTTCTCAGAATTCTAAAAAACATTGAAACAAACTAGATAAACTTAATCACACTGTTGTTCCAGGCGGTCATTAAGATAGCTGCGAATCAAACAATTTAAAAGTCGCTAAGTATACCAATTACAATTACCAATTAAAACTATACTAATAACACCGTTCTCGCAAAATACTGTCCGCAGAGTTCAGATGAAACTGGTTGAAATTAGTAATTATGCCTTAAAGTGTCTGCCACGTTTTAAGCATGAAGATATCATTTCCGTCATGGAATATCGCATACTGGATGGAATCTCACCTCCGACAACACACGCAGCTTCTTCTTCGATTTTCCAATAGTTGTCACAACCCGGTCCAATTCTGCGTCGTTCTCCATCCTCTCCGAATTGGCGCAGAAAGAAAAGATTTGCGGGTCGTTCAGACTGTGGGTCTGCAAATCCATTTCGCGATTCAGCCCGTCATTTAGCCGCTGGCGTGCGGTCAGTGAGGCTTCAGATCGACCCATATCTGCGATAGCCGAGTTTGTGCGGTCCCTTTGAAAAGTAGCACGCAGAACATGGTGGTCAGGGGCGTGGGCTGAGCTTTGAACCTAATGCCTTCTTCCTATTAATAGTGCACTTTAAATTTGAATGCAGCATTTGCCCTTTACACCGCCGATGTCCAGTGACCAACAGAAATATAGCTCTAGCGGTTTTTAAAACACTGATATTAGTTATCTGTTTCCAGTTCACTCATGTTCTCTTACCAACTACGTCTAATGATAACGCAGTTTGGCTGAGATTTGAATCTAAGGTAAATATGTCAGTCAGTAAACTGTGAGTTAATAGACCTTTCCCGCTACCTACGAGGCGTGGCCAAACTTATTTTGTCCTCTAGTGTAATTGAAGCATAAAGTCTTCTATTAACTATGTCTTATCTGGTCAGGACAACCCAGGAAGACCAAAAGTGGACTTTGGGGCAATATTGGTACATTCGCTGTACCTTATCCTCGATTTCGTGGGTTCGAAGCCCAGTGAGGCCGCCGAGTTTTCCACAATCTGATTCCATGAACTACTTAAATCAGCCCAAACTCCCGGTAAGATGAATTTCACGGCTACCTTAATAGGACATGGGAATAGGAAAGTCTCACCCACTTAAAATAGTAGACTATGCGATAACTTTTAGGGAGTGTAAATATTCCCATGTCTTAACGCTAGGTTTATCCTTAATCTAAACCGTACAGTTAACACGAGCCCTAACCTTAACCTTTAATGGAATCTTGAACCTAACTCAACCTTAAACCTGACTCTCACCCTCACCTTAGTCCTACGCCTAATCTTCCCTGGAATTAGACACAAAGCAACCTGTATCGGGGGCGGTTCCTCTCCCCGTGTCCTGTGTAAGCGGTGATACAAGTTATCCTTACCAAATTCTCTAGAAATATTGGTACGCTTTTAGCATCCAGAACAAAGACAGTGCGAACCATCGGAATATTTTCCTCTTGAGAACATTGGAGATAAAAGTATATCTTGAATTTAGAAAGCTGGTTTGCTTTGTGTTTAGGGGCTTTGGTTCAGCGACGAATACCTGTAATTCGAAGCGTTTACCACACTGGGATGGTCCTGCCCTAACTGGCGCACGAGGTTTCCCTTTACTTTTAAGTAAACCTACTGGTAAGGTATGTAGGCACTCACTGGATGCGAATAAGCTCCTCGTTGCTGGCCTGCACATGTTTTCGGAGAGCTGTCAACTCGGCCTGTGCCGCGGCACGCTGTTCGGAGATATTCTTGGCTGACTCCATGAGACGGTGGATTTCAGTATTTAGGGCACTGATTCGTGCTTCCGACGTCGAACACATGTCGTCAATAATTCTAGAAAGTTCAGAAAGATAGCAGAGAGATGATGAGTATAAGCACGCAATTCTTTGTTCCAACGATTGGTGCGGGTGAGGCCAAAGTACTAACAATTAAAAAAGAGATTAAAGTGAGCTCGTAGTGATGGATGAAATGATCACATAATTCATACAGAAGTAAGGTAGGCAGAATTAATCTAAATCTGTAACATACTTCTGTTTAAACTTGGTATTGGACTCAAGGTCCTTAAGCTGGGAACGTAAACAGTTGTATTCGTTTTTCATCGCGGCCATACGGGTTTCCTCCGTC